ACTTGAACAGGCACTTTCCATTGCACGAACAGGTACACTGCCTACACGTACAGACACACCCTTACTCGAACAGACATGACATACACATCTCCTGGGGAACAGGTAAGTCTTTTGACAATGCCCTTTGCCTTAGATTTAGATGTGCCTGTTGATAGAGAACTTGACTTTTGACCTGTTTTCACGTTTCTGAGCCCTGGCAAGATACCTTTTCACAATGCTTTACTTTTACAAGGCCCGTGCTGCTCTATTTTTACAAGGCCTGAGGCCTATATCGGGTAAAGGCCCTTTTAGTTACTAAGATAACAAATAAAATACAAGCTCAAGATCTGAAGAAAAAATTGAACAGGATTATACCTCCTCCTTTACTCGGCCTCCTTATATGGAGTGTAAGTGGGTCGTTAAGGCACACACGGATGCGGGTTGTTGGTGTTCAACCACAATCAACGTGGCCAATCTGGTATGTGAGAAGCACAGTAAAAAAGGAGTTGCAAGAATAATCGGCCTTTCAAAAAACAGTCAAATAAATACACGATTGGGTCATCCATGGAGGTGATGTGCATGACCTTTCCAAAAACAATAAAAAATAATATGTGATCAGCCCATCCACACAGGGGACAAGTTCAGCCCCGCCAAAAAAGTCATACATAGTCATAACTTTCTTTGAAGTATTTCCCTAGCCACATGTATGTTATTTTTACAACCATAAGAGCATGCTCACACTAGGCCTCAAACTGGCAAAATCACAAAATGAGCAGCCAGATGGAGTGCCTGGAAAGGAAGGACTAGATCTGGCCGTTCATTTTGGGATTTTGCAATTTTGAGGGCCTGGTGTGAGTATGCCCTAATTACTTTTCATTTCAACAACAGAAGTATTTCCCTAACCACATGTATGTTATTATTACAACCATAATTCCTTTGCATTTCAACAATAGATTGTCAAAAATATAACTTGAGTAAAAAGGGTAGTTAATGTAACAACAACCACAGACAAAGCAGATAGAAGGTTGTACAATGTACACTTAGGGGTATACAAGTGCACCGGGGAAAAACTTTGCTTACCTCCAAGTTCTCTGCCTGCAAAACTCCTCTTGAGCTCCAACAGAGCTTTTGCAATCGCACGAGTAGTTGGACGTCCCACATAGCGAATATAACAAAAACAACCTCGATAGAATAGGATCCTGTCAGCTTGATCTTCCCTCACAGAGGGCTTACAGATAGTCAAGGACGATTGGATTAGAAAAGAACTTGAACACTCGGACTCTAAAGGAAAAGGAAAAGACACTCAACTCTCTCTCTCTCTCTCTCTCTCTCTCTCTCTCTCTCTCTCTCTCTCTCTCTCTCTCTCTCTCTCTCTCTCTGTATATATATATATATATATATA